CCTATCCCCTGTGTGCCTTTGCTCCCACGACTTGCTTGTTTTCCTAAAGATTGCATATATAAATTAGTATAATTGTTTTGTTCCACAATATGTGGTATTAATTCTTGTTTTTTACCTATTTCTTTAGGTAGGACTTTATATGGTGTTGCAATAATATCATATAGAGATTGTGGTGGTTCTCCTTTGCTTAATGGGGTTATGGCTCCTTTGAGTATTATACTTTTCTCAGGAGGGTGTGTACTAGCAGTAGTGGTACCATCCGTACTAATATATGTTTTTTCTTCTATGGTTTGAAGAGTATTAAATGGAGAAATGTTTATTTTATATTGAGTACATATTTCTTGTAACCATATAAAAAATCCTTTTGTTTCTCTTTCTTTTTTCAAAAATTTATTATATTTTTGATGGAATAATTCTATTAACCTAGGTTGGAAGGTTTGAATATACCATTCCCTAATACCTTGATTTTCTGGAGAAAGATAATCTTTTTTGAGATAATCAATATCTATTTTTCTCTTTTTTCTTTCTAATTTGGCAGCTAAATAGGTTGCTATATATGTATCATATGCAGCATTATTAGTATTTATTTCTTCTTCTATATCATCTTCTATTTGTAATGTAAGTATTTGAAATTCCTCTATATCAGGTTCAGAAGTATATGTTGGGATAACTACATGATCAGCTGTTCTTTTGATTCCTTGTATTTGGAAGTCTGAAGATGGTGTAGGTATTGGAGAAGAAGGAAGTATGATAACATCGGGAGTAGTATGACAGGATTTTCTAGCAGGTATTAATGGTTTTTTATTTCTTTTCCTATTAATATCTATATCATCTTGTACTATATGCTGCTGTAATTTTATTTCAATATTTCCATCCTGATGTTCTATTATTTGGTTTGGAATATTATTTCTAGGTACTTCTCTGGGCTGGTTTGCATGTTGCAATGCCCATGATTGGGGTAGCATAATATCAGACCAAGTAATTGTTTTTGGTATAATCGTATTTGATTTTTCTATATTTGTTTGAAATAATATAGTTTGATCCTTTTTATCAGCTTGCATAATATTAGGACAAAGAGTATTCATTACCTTATAATAAATTCTATATACTATTGCTAAATTCTGAGAACCATGTAGCATATTAAATCCATGAGTTTTCAAATTTATAGTTAATATATCTAATATATTTGGGTCTGTTAAAGAAATAGAAAAATTTGGAAAGTAATTAAAATATATGGGTCCACTACATAGGCTGGATTCCACCATGCCTAAGAGTGAATCTGAGAAATTATTGTGCCTTGTATCTCTTAGGCATACAAACACTGAAGTGTTTAACCCTAGACGAGTTAAAGGTTTAATTGCTATTTGGATTAATCCAATGTGCAAATATTTATAATTATGTTATTTATGTTTTTCAATAATTTTTCTTGATAATAATTGAAAGTCTTCTTGGTTTTGAGTTACAGATAGACTTTCTTCTACTGTTTTTATAGCATATCCTAATTTGAATTTAAATGATCCTTTCTGATAAATATCTTTTATTGGTACTTTAGGAATATTCCAATTTTGGATATGATGTTCAATATCATTTATAATAATCTCCTCTTTGTTTTTAACTCTTAAAGTTTGAGATTGAGTTGCAGTATTACCTTGATTCCTAATTAAATTTACCATCTGTAGGTTGCGGATAATGACAATCTGGACAATCACGGGTCAAGCGTGTTCCCCTAAGCGGCTTTTCCTGGCTTTGGTGGGTACTTTGCCTAGACTTATTCGTTCGTCTCTTGCCTTAACTCTCGAACCAACTTTCTTAGATGTAAATTTAAGTAGGTTTCTACAGTAATATTGTAACTTTTACTTTTAACAGTTTACTGTTTGGCTCTGATACCAAAACGCGCCAAGATCTACAGTGATTTCAAACCATGTATTTTATAACATGTAAGCAAAGAGCATACTATTATATTTAACTAGTTCTTGTAATATGCGAATATAATTGAGGCAAAATAAGATTATTATGATAAAAGGAATAACAGAAATATCAATAACAAACCACGAAGTGTGTGTGTGATTACCTATTTTTATACTGAATACAAATTTAAACTGCATTAGATTACATATCAGAGGTATACAGAAAGATTACAAACCATTTGTACATATTCAAACAGATCTTAACATGAACAAATACTTACAGCTTACAGAGACAATAACTGGAGAATAACTTCCAGCTGTGAGGACAGTATGATGGGAGTTTATGGAAGTTATAGTCACACATTTATAAAGAGAAATATAAGATAAGAGGATAAGAGAGAACCTGGTTTTGGAGCATAAAAAAGATAGGAAAAAACCTGGATAGCATGGGACAGGTTCAAGCTGTGAGGTAAGAACAGCTGCTTGTGAAGTGGAGTAATATGGTAATCGTGGTCTTTGAGACCAAGAGAGTAGAGAGATGAAGAGAGCAAAGAGATGAAGAAAGCAGAGAAGATTGTGAGCAGGAGAGAACGGAGAGGGAAGAGAACTCCGAGAG